TGGTTCACCCTCTCCATGGGTCCCCGGCCCCCTGCTGGGTGGGGAGGTGGCAGTCACTTGGCTACTCAGGGCTGGGGAGGGGATCTAGGGTCTGATCAGTTCTTACAGACTTTCAGCCCTACTGTCTTCACTTCTGCTGGGCCTCAGGCCTTGAGGGGTCCCTGGAAACTCAATTCCTGAGCCTTTCCAGGGTTCTGTTTCTGGATGGTTCCTCCCTGCAGGCACATGGCTCTCAGCTTTCATCACTCTACCAAGTCAGCTACTGCGTGGTCATCTGCTTTCCAGCTTCCACAGTCTTTTTGACATTCTTCGTTTTCCATCATCAACCCTTATGGATTTATGCCTTATTTCCTCTGCTGTCATCACAGTGGGAGTTTTGGAAGGAGCAGTGATAAATCTGTCTGCTCAATGTGCCATGTGTTTCTAGAAGTCCACTCATTGTGGGGTTTAAGCAGGGATGTGATCAGGTCCATTAGGATGTAAGAGCAGGGATGCCGGCCTCAATGGAAGAGGGATTACTGGGGTGGGGAGTGGGATTGGAAGCAGAGAAGAGTTTTGTTTGGTGGTTGAGAACCTAGACTGACCCGGGGCAGTGGCTCACGCCTGTAATCCCAGCACTTTGGGAGGCCGAGGCAGGCAGATCACTTGAGTTCAGGAGTTCAAGACCAGCCTGGCCAATATGGCAAAACCCCATCTCTACTAAAAATAAAAAAATTAGCCGGGCGAGGTGGTGCACGCCTGTAATCCCAGCTACTTGGGAGGCTGAGGCAGGAGAATTGCTTGAACCTGGGAGGCAGAGGTTGCAGTGAGCTGAGATGATGTCATTGCACATCAGCCTGGGTGACAGAGCAAGATTCCATCTTGGGGAAAAAAAAAAAAAAAGAACCTAGACTGTGGCCCAGGCTTCTGACTATGTTGGCAGACAAGTTATATTATCCCTTAAGTCTCACAAAACGGAAATCATGATGGGAGCCCCTTGTGCATGCGATCTGACAAGTAAATGAGAAAACGTGGGGTGCTTAGCACAGTGCCTGCCATACAGCAAGCTTTTTATACATGCACACTACTGTTATTTCCACTGTTACCAAGTGATACATGGTATGGACTTCACCAGGGAAGTGGCCTGAAGGTGGGGAGAAAGATGTGTCTCCTTCCTCAGAGAAAGGCAGAGAATGAGAGAATGGTTTCAGCAAATCAGAATAGTAGCTGTCCCCACCACAGCCCCAGGGCTTGTTCCCAGGTGCCCTGACCCAGGGTGCCACCCAACGGCTCTAGGACAGACAGACAGAGTCTCTGTCCTCATTCAGCTGCTGGAATGCCTGAAGGACTTGGCTCGGGGCCTGGGGTGAGGGTGGGAGGACAGTGTGAGAATCAGAGCCAGCCAGGTCCTCCAGGAGCCTTGGCACGGTGGAGAGCCAGATGGAAGCAGGACAATACATGCCCCACCAATGGAGGAGTGTCTGGGGAGGAGAACCCCATCTTCCCAAGGTCCTTTCACGCTTTCACCTTTGCATCCTGGGAGTCATGCAGCAGGGTGCTCCCAAGGCTCAGAAGAGGATGTGTGGAGGGGTGGAGGTGGGCGGGGCACCAGCCTGTGGTCTCCTTGCTGGAGGTGGGACAGGAGAGAGAGGATGGACTCCGCCCAGTCAGTTTGGGGACAGAGTGAGTGAGATTCACCAAAAGTGCCAAATGGTCTGGGAGTGTTTCCAGCACTTATGGTGTCTCAGAGGCATTCACAGACCACCCCATTATCCTGACTGGACCTGAAGCCCCTTGGCCTCCTGCCTATAGATGCTTACTTATCAGCCAAGCCCACCCACAGGGCTGAATTCAAACTCATTCTGGCTGTGTCCACAGACCCCCATGTCCATCGGGCCCTGTGTGTGGGGACGGTGGTAAAGGAGACAGACGTGGCGCCTGTCCTCCAGTCCCTCACACCAGGGGGACAGGCAGATGGGAGTGGGAGATGATTAGCACTGAGGCACGCAGTCCTCTTGGGTCTGTAGGAATGGGGGGACAGGCACCAACCCTCCTGGGGTCAGGAACAGCAACTCAGAGAAGGAGTTCTGGAGCTGCCTCTTAAAGGCCAACTTCCACTGTAAGGAAGAAGGACACTGTAGGTAGAGGGCAGGCTGGGCAGAGGCCGGGGTCATGCCAGTGTAGGGTGGGGCAGAAGAGCCCTCAGGAGGTGGTGGGAGATGGGCTGGAGGGTAGTCTTTGAAGCCTGTCCAAGAGGGTTGGCCTGAAGAACTCTAAGAGACTTTCCGGGTTGACAGGTGCTTTAGGGGCTCTGGGGAGCGGTCACAGCATTTCACCAGTGTCAACTTGGACCAGGCGGGGAGGAGGGGAGGCTCTGCTCCCCGCTTCCCATAAAGCCAGCGTTTCTACAGGGAGAGAGGGAGGCTGGGTCACACATGGGGTCCTCTAATTCACCCCATGGACCCCCCCCATCCAACGACTCCATGACCAGATCCTCGAGGGGCAGGCAGGGGAACGGGCCCCCAGGTCTCTCCTGTTGGCAGCGCTTTGCTGTCTCCGCCTGTGTGATTTTTCCCAAGAAGACACTGCTATTTATACTTCTGTAGCTTAGGATCAGCCTCTTGTAGATGAGGATGTGAAGGCCCAAGGCCACGAGCATCTACAGCCAGTCAAAGAGTAAAAACGTGGGTTTCTGACTCCCAAGACAGCACCTGGCCTTATCCCTGCAGTGGATTTGGTGAGGGTCGCCTCGTGCTCCTGACTTCTCCTGGACTGTTGGTGCTGGGGTGAGGAGCACTGGACCCCTCAGCCACCGGGTCAGAAGACCCCTTAGCTAGGATGGGTGAGTCCCCACCTACGTCCTTGAACTGTGGAATGCTAGAGGAAGGAAGGAGACCAGGGCCAGCTGACCCCATCACCCTCTGCTGACACTCTGCCCTGGTTGCAGGCCCAGGGAGGCTCAGGGAGCCCAAAGCCGCCGGAGCACTTGGGACACTCGTTTCTCCCCATGAGGCCTCGGCTGCCATGGTTTTAAACTTGTATTTGGGGTGAAGTATTTGAGGCCGGGCTCACGGTTGAATGGGAGGAGCTCTGCCCTGGGGGCAGCCCAGTGAGCAGACACAACCTGGTGCAGGCAGCCTGGACTTGGCTTGAGATCCTGGCCATCACGTTCCTCTTGTGTGTATCCCAGGGCAAGTGACGTATGAGTCCTGAGTGTGTGAGGGGAGATGATGGTACAGTCTGCCTGGGATGTTGTGAGGAGCGAATGAGAGGGTGTGCACCCGGTGCCCGGGACCAGCCTGGCACGTTGTCATCTTGGGCACTAGGACTGCATGCAGCAGCTGCTTCTCTGCCCACTCCCATGTTAGAGGGATCTGTTTCCAGCCAGCAGGGCAGTCTGGGTGACTCCAGGAGGATTCCAGGGTCCTCAGTAGGAGTTTGGTCACCTTGGCTTTCTTCTCTGCAGTCCTGAGCACAGCCAGGGGCCCGTCACTGGCCAGGGGACTTTGGAGACCACCCATACCACCCACTTAGCCTGGATCTCCCAGCTGCCAGGCCCCCTCCTCTGAAATCTGGGCTTTGGGGTCCTAAGGTCTGAGCCACACTCTCAGCCTCGCCCCACACCTGCCTTCGGTATTACTGCCTGTTCCTGACTCTTTCATGTTCTTCCAGCCTCTCAACATCTGTAGTGTTTCCTTCTCCTCTCCCTGCTGGATTCTGGGATTTACCACCTCTGCCTTCTTCCCTGTGCAATCCCTGCCTGGTGCACCCAGGGCTGTGGCTCATCCTGGCCCTTGGGCCTGGCACCAACTGCCCTGAGACCTCCCAGACAGGAGACTGGAGGGTTTGTGCCTCCCCATCGCCCCTGCCTGGCTAGAGGCCCCAGGTCCTGTGGGTCCTGCCTCTCTCTGTTGCTTCTGCCCAAGTCGTGGCTGCCGGGGTCATCTCTGCCCTGATTGTCCACGTGGCACAATTCTCCCCAGAACTGCTGCCCCCAGAAGGCCCCCAAACTTTCCTCTAGTTTCTCCAGAACAGCAAGGAGTCGAGGGGCGGGCTGGTCAATACGCCAGGGCACTCCTGCTAGTAAGCTGTAGTGGTGCCAGCCTAAGGTCCAGCAAGGGCAGCAGGATGGACACTGGGCCAGACACATAGCCATGCCCGAGGGCCACACAGAATGAGGCAGGGGCAGAAGCGGGTGCCATTTGGGCCTGGGCCGCCCTCCCCAGGGCCCCCGCCTGCATGCCCCCTGCTTTCTGGTGTTGTGTCTAGGGCAGCCTCGTCTTCGCCACACCGTGGCAGCAGGAGTGTCTGGTGGGTACAGATTGTTCCTGCTCTCGTCTGCCCGGTTCCCTGCTACTGCTACCAGGGAATGCGGCTGGAGGACTGGCTGAGGCCAGTCCTGCAAGGGGACAGGCACGGCTGCCTGGGCTCTCTCCCAGGGGAGGGCTGCTTTCTAGACCTCGTCCTTCCATAGATGACCCAATGTCTCTGCCTGGGTTGGACCATCAGAGGCTCTGTTATGTCAACTGTGATGTGATGTTCTCCAGATCCTTGTCGGGCCTGGCTCCAGGGTCTGGGCTCAGGGATGCAGGCTGCAGGGTTGGAGAGCAGGGCCACAAGAGGGCTTGATGATCCAGGAGGCTTCGGAGGGAAGGACCCTGGCGCTGCATCTGGAGGGGAGGCTGCAGTGGTAGGGCAAGAGGAGCAGGGTGGAGGCGGCAGCGTGTGCAGAGGCCGGGCACTGGGGCCGGGATTGTTGAGCTGGAGTGCACAGGAGGTGAGATGAGCGTGGGCGGGAGGGCCTCTGCTGCTGGCTGCAGGGTGGCTGAGCCAAGCTGGGGGCTGGGGTTCTCCTACAGTGGTGGGGCTCTGTGCCACTCCCTCCTCCCCTCCCAGCCCAGCCGAGGCCTCTCCGATGGGTCCCACAGGCTGCCCCCACTCTCCTTGCTTCTGTCCCATCTCTAGCCTCAGGTGGGGCCTGTGCCTGGATGATTCTCCTGCCAAGGACATCATCCGACGACATGGATGTGAGTGGGCTGGGGTGGGTACCAGGGTGTGGGGACCTGGTGGGAAGGCTCAGGGGGCAGCCCTCACCAGCCCGTGGATGCCAGCCTGGCAGGAACCTCGCTTGGCCTGGGCTGTGCCACTGAATGACACTGTGACATGTCAGAGGCTTGTGGGAGAGGCCAAGGATGGGCAGCCACAGACCCGGCTCTGAATTCTGGGTCAATCACGGATCCACTGTGACAAGACCCTTAGCCTCCCTGGGGCTGGCTTTTAAGAGGGAAAAGGGCCAGGCGCGGTGGCTCATGCCTGTAATCCCAGCACTTTGGGAGGCTGAGGCAGGTGGATCACAAGGTCAAGAGATCAAGACCATTCCGGCCAACATGGTGAAACCCCGTCTCTACTAAAAATACAAAAAATTAGCTGGGCATGGTGGCGCGTGCCTGTAATCCCAGCTACTCAGGAGGCTGAGGCAGGAGAATTGCCTGAACCCAGGAGACGGAGGTTGTGGTGAGCCGAGATCGCACCATTGCACTCCAGCCTGGGTAACAAGAGTGAAGCTCCATCTCAAAAAAAAAAAAAAAAAAAAATTCAAAAAATTAGCTGGACATGGTGGCACATGCCTGTAGTCCCAGCTACTTGGGAGGCTGAGACAGGAGAATGGCTTGAACCCAGGAGGCAGAGGTTGCAGTGAGCCGAGAATGTGCCATTGCATTCCAGCCTGGGCAACAAGAGTGAAACTCCATCTCAAAAAGAAAAAAAAAAAAAGGGAAAAGGAACCCGTGTGGGTAGGGACTGTTTATCCTGGAGAAGAATGCCTGGAGTGATCTTCTAGGGAGTGTTTCCAGAGGCAGGGCTGGGCCGGGAGAGGGGGTGGACAGCTGGGGAGTGCTGTGAGCAGTGCAGCCCTAGGCCCCCCACACCACCACAGGGGCTGGAGAGGAAGGTGAGAGTGGACACAGAAGGGACCTCTGGGGGTCTGTGGATCCCCACCGTGTGGAAGGGTGTCCAGGGGGCCCTTGGGGACAGGGTGGGGGCAGGGCAGCTGGTGGCATGGGGGTGGGGTGGGGTAAGGGTGTGGCTTGTGCCCCCTCCTTGCAGAATGTCTGCCACACACTTTGGTGCTCTGTCGGGGTCACTTGTCACTCCAAGCTGGATGCAGCCATGGATGGCACCTGGTGTGGGGAGAACAAGGTAGGAGGTGCCCAGTCCCAGCGGTGGGAGGGAGAGGCCAGACCTCCTGCTGTGTCCGGGCCAGGGCGTCAGCCCCAGCTCACAGTCTTGCTGTGCTCCCAGCAGACCCCCACTCTCTGCAGCCCAAGCCTCCGTCTACAGAGTGGAGGCATTGGGGGCAGGGCTTGATTCCATGATTCCCTGGGTGTCTTCAGCTGAGTCTGCACATGGACTGTTTTACTCCCTGCTCAGCTCCTCCCTGCGTCCTGGGCCACACGTGATGGTGTTGATTGTGAGGGGCTTCTCTCACCTTCCATCTTTCCCCTCTGTGACTTTCATGGCCTTCCCACCCACCTTGTTCTCACTAGGGTGAGGATGACTGATAGGCTTGGGGGTGGGGTGGCTCTACCTCCATCTGTCTCGGTAGTGGTGTCTCAGTGGGGAGTGGGTACCCGTGGGCTTCTGGCCTGAGGCCGTGGACGGTGGCTGGTCCAGCTGAAGTGCTTGGTCCATCTGCTTGTGGAGCTGTGGTGTGGCCATGCAGAGTGCTGAGTGGCAGTGCATGCAGCCTGCGTGAGTGTGGGGCCCAGGGTGCCCTGGGTGATGGGATGGAGGAACCCAAGCAGTCAGCCGATCGCAGGGGCTTGGCTCTGTCCCAGCCCCTGGCTCTTAAAAGTGTCCTCATAACGGTCAGTCCGAGTGTCCAGGCCACCTTGAGTCACTTTCAAGGAGGGTTCTGGGGCTGACAGGTCCCCACTGCTGACCCCTTTGCAGAGAGGGTGACATTGAGGCCCAGAGACTAGAGAGACTCATCAGAGGCCACACGGCAAAGCAGCCGCCGGCTGGAAGGAGGATGGAGAGTGCAGTGGGGCAGAGCGTGGGCCCTGGACCTTAGATGGCTCAGGGTTTGAATCCCCTCTTGACCCCTTCTCTGGGCCTCAGTTTCCCCGTTTAAACAGAAGGATGTGAGGATATGGTGAGGCGCAGAGCCCAGCAGTACTGTAGACCGAGGCACTGCCCAGCTGATTCCCTCTTCACGAGGCCGCCCAGGGAAGGTATGGGGTTCACAGCCAGCCTTACCCAGGGCCCTATGCTTGGCTAAGACTGGCTTGTGGTCCTCCCTGCCTCCAGACCTCCAGCTCTGAGCTGGGTCCAGCTACCCTGGCCTAGATGGGGAGGGTTTCAGGAGCTGTGACTTGGCAGTCCTCTCAGCTGGCTGGGGCCCTGGGGGCTTTTTTTTACACCTAGGCTGGGGGAACTGCCACCAGGAGGGAGGCTGAGGGCTCAAGGGCTTGTTAGGATGCTGGTGTCATGGGCTGGGGACTCGAAGCAGTCCCTCCAGTCAGTGCCAGTCATGCCTGCAGCTTGTCGCAGCTTCTCAACAGCCCTCTGCAGAGTCAGCCCCAACCCCATTTTACAGATGAGGAAACTGAGGCCCAGGGGTTGGCCAGAGACTTGCTCACAGTCACACAGCAGGTTGGGGACAGAGCTCAGGCTTCCTGCTGCCACTTCCCTGCAGGTCCTTACAAACAGGGAGGGTGTGTCTGGGCCAGAGTGGGGGCAGCCCACGGGAGGAAGAGCATGTGCGCAGAACTGGGTGGCAGGGATCTCGGGGTACAGGTACAGGAGGAGGCCACTCGCTCCGGACTGTGGCCACGCAGTAGCACTCACCACGCCCTCCCTGCGTCTCCCCACAGGCCCAAATACAAGGGCAAGTACTTCGTGCATGAGTGGAAGCGTTTCTGCCTCTGCAACCTACAAGCCTGCCCCTCTGGCCGCCCCTCCTTCCGCCATGTCCAGTGCAGCCACTTTGACGCTATGCTCTACAAGGGCCAGCTGGGTGCCTGTGGTCAGTGATGGTGAGTGCTGCCTCCCACGGGGACACTGAGGCTCAGAGGGCTGGGACTGTGTGTGCCCAAGGCTATCCTGTGATGCATCAGGAGGCTCAGTCTCCACGCCAAGCCTGGGCCTCACCGCTGTGCCCTAGGGCTGCTGCTCCTCCCAACTCCCCAGTCTGCAGCCTTGCAGATAGCTACCAGCCCAGCCGGAGCCTCCAGCCTGCCATGGATGTGTGTCATGGAGGGGTCTTCCTGGTGGCCTCCATAACTCCTGCCTCGGCTGTCGCTGATGGCTCTTCTACTTGACCCCCAGTGAACCCCTGTGAGCTGCACTGCTGGCCCTCAAATGAGTATTTTGCCGAGAAGCTGCGGGACGCCATGGTTGATGGCACCCCCTGCTACCAGGACAGGGTCAGCTGGGACCTCTGCATCAATGGCATCACCAAGGTGTGCCTGGTCGGGAAGAGGCTCTCCCAGCACCGCCCGCCCCCAGCCCCACTGACAGGCCCCAGGTTCTCCCCTGGGTCCCTCCTGGTCCTCTGGCCACCCTCCCCATGCTCTGCCATTGGGCTTCCCAGACCCCACCCTCTATACCACTAAGGCAAAGCCCATACCAGGCCTCCTGGCACTGGAGACCCCTGCCAGTCAGGGCTCGCTGCCCCTCGTCTCCTTGGATGCTGTGCCAGCACCGCCCCAGCCGGGACACCGGAGCCCAGGCAGGGGCTTGACCTCTTGCCAGCTGACTGACCCCAGGCAGTGGTTTCCTCCCTGATAGAAGGGGCCAAATGAGGTGGCACAGGTGACATGAAGGGCTCTAGACCCAAAGGTGTCTCATCTTTGCTCATCTCCCCAGCCACCTACCTGCCCCTGCTTCTAGCCCCCTAAGCCGCTGGGGTGTCCGGGCCTGGGCTCAGAGGGGGACCAGCAAGGAGGGGCCCACCCCAGCACCTCTGATGTTCAGATTCCCTGCACACGCTTGTCAGGAGCCCGTGGCGAGTCAGTCCCTGCCTGCCCGCAGCCTTTGCAGAACTCCCTTCTCTTGTCACATGTGATGCTCGAGACACACCTTTAAAAGGGAGGGGCGAGTCTCCCCGTCTCACATCTGAGGACACTGAGGCTCAGGGAGGTAGAGAAGTTCACCTGGGTCAGAGGCACAGCTGGGGTGGGGCAGGGCCAGAGAGAGGCCCCCTAACCCCCACTCCAGCTGTCTCCTCCTGACCCTGGCTGGCCCCTGGGGCTGGGGCCACAGAGGGCTGACCGCCAGCACCATGGGCCTCCTCTCCCTTGTGTGTTGCAGAATGTGGGCTGTGACTTCGAGATTGACTCCGGTGTCATGGAGGACCGCTGTGGCGTGTGCCACGGCAATGGCTCCACCTGCCACACCATCAGCAAGACCTTCGAGGAGGCCAAAGGCCTGGGTATGGAGTGGGACCAATGTGGGGGAGGGGTGTGCTCTTTACCTGCTGGCCACTTCCCCATCTGCCCCAGGCCCCCTCATTGGCCTTGTGGTCCCCACCCAGCCATAGATGGCTAAGCAGGGAAGCCTTGCTGGGGTGGAATTCTTGTAGGAGTCAGGGACCCCTAACCGAAGCGCAGAGACCTGTCCCTGTGGGGAGTCCTCTTGTCCCAGAGACTCAGGCAGGTTCAGCTCAGCTTATGTACAGCCCCTGGGCCTCTAGGAGGTTGGTGGTCTCCTCCCGAAGCTTCTGAGACCCTCAGCTCCACGCCCTCACCTTGGGTCTGCTTTGCACACGTTGTTCGAGTGCTGACTGTGCTAGGTGATGGGGACATGCAGGTGAATCGTTCAGTCCCACAGGGGACAGAAACTTCTGTGTGGCCAGTGCAGTGCAGGGAGGCCCAGAGGACTTTGGGAACACTGAGGAAGACGCTCCTGGCCTGGGGAAGTCAGGGAAGGTTTCCTGTGGGAGGAAAACCCCGTTGTCCTCAGATCCGAGCAGGATGCTCATTAATGTTACTATCCCTGCCTGCCTCACTTTCCTCATCTGTGAAATGAGGACAACAATAGTTCCTATATCCTAGGGTTGTTATTCATTTTACAGGTGAGCAGTGGCCGGCGCGTGATAGGTGTTACAGAAGCGGGTGAATAAAAGCACCCGTGTGGGCTGAGGAGGGTGACCCGGGAGAAAGGCCTGAGCACGCTGGCATTTTAGAAAGAGAATGCCAGCTGGCCCTGAGTGTTGGGCGGACCCAGCCTTGAGATGAGACCAGTTTAGGTCCCCAAGAGAGGGGTGACGGGGCATGGACGTGGGGTCAGGATTTGGAGCACCTCTGTGAGGTTTTGGTGATTTACGACATACCTGAGCAATTGGGGGAGCTCAGACTTTTCAGGTAACAGTGGAATCTTTGGCATCAGCAGGCAGGGTGTAAGTGGGGAGAGAGGTGAGGGCAGCGAGTGGGGATAGGCAACCCTGTCACCCCGAGCACAACCTGTACACAACCCGTGGCCAGCAGGGTATGTGGACGTGAGGCTGATCCCAGCTGGCACACGTGAGATCTCCATCCAGGAGGCTGTTAACTTCCTGGCACTGCAGTGAGGACCCAAAGAAGTACTTCCTCAATGGACACTGGACCATCCAGTGGGATGGGGACTACCAGGTGGCTGGGGCCACCTTCACATACGCACACAGGGGCAACTGGGAGAACCTCATGTCCCCGGGTCCCACCAACGAGCTTGTCTAGATTCAGGTGCATGCTTCCCGAGGCCCAGGAGCGGGGAGCAGAGGTGGAGACCCCAGGCCCACGGCAGGGTCTCATCCTGGAGGAGTGAGCCCTGGGCCAGTCACAGAGCCTGGCTCTCAGCCAGGCCCTCCTGCTGCAACTTCTGCCTCAGTTTCCCATCTTTTAAAATGGCCCCGTGATGTTGCTGCAGTTCAGAGGTGGCTGGGGTCAGCTCCTCTAGGGCTGGGTGGATGGAGAGGACACCTCGTGCTCATGGGGCCCGCCTGCCTGCCCAGCTGCTGTTCCAGGAGAGCAACCCCGGGGTACGCTATGAATACACTGTCCACAGGGAGGCAGATGGCCATGGCGAGGTCCTGCCGCCTGAGTTCTCCTGGCACTATGGACCCTGGACCAAGTGCACGGTCACCTGCGGCACAGGTGAGGAGAGGGGCAGGCACAGCCCTGCCAGCAGGGGCTTCGGCTCTGGACAGGGATGCTGGCTTCAGCCTCCAGCTCACTGCTGGGCCACCACGGGTCTGGAGGTTTGCTTCTCTGAGCCTCAGTTCCCCATCTGTGAAATGAGGCTGGCAATTGCCCCATGTCCCATGCCTGCTGGGAGGTAAATAGATGAGGCAGGTGGGGGCAGCTTGCGGCGAGTGCTCAGCGTGCCCCAGCTCTTGGCGTTCTCCATCCAGGGGACACAGCTCCCTCTCGATTTTGTCCTGGCTCAGCTCCGGCAGGTCTCGTGCCTGCATTTCTGCTGTGTCCTGGAGACAACCCACCCCCACCCCCACAGAGCCTTAGCCGTGGGCCTGTAGGAGCACTGCTCGCCTCCTCCAGCCCCTCCAGTGGTCCAGAGCCTGGGGCTCCCTGGTGGCCGCCCCATGCGGGGCTTCTCAGACAGAAGGAGGGGGAACAGTGGAAGGGGGCAGGGAAGGGGGCAGTGACGGGAGGGAGGCCAGGGCACAGCCAGGTTTCCCACCCCACTCAGGCCAGCCCTGTGGCCCCTCACCACACCAACTTATTTCTTTAAACTATGTAAAAAGTATGATGTTTTCATTAACTCTGACTCTTCCTCCCCATATTTCCCTTCGTGCCCCCCATGCCGCTTGGTCTCCCTGCCTCTCAGAATCCCCCCACCTCAGGTCTCCCACCCTGCCCCTTGGTCTTCCCCCCCATGCCCCTCAGTTTCCCCCGACCCCTCAGTCTTCCCGCTTGCCCCTTGGTCTTCCCTACATGCTCCTCAATCCCCCCTCTGTCTTTCCCCCACCCCTGGGTCTCCCCTTCTGCCCCTCGGTCTCCCCCTGACCCTTGGTCTCCACTCACCCCTCAGTCTCCCCCCAGTCGTGCCTCTCAGTCCCCCCTGCCCCTCAGTCTCCCTTTGCCCCTCGGTCTCCCTCCATCCCATTTCCCTCCACCCCTCAGTCTCCTCACTCCCCTCGGTTTTCCCCCACCCCATCTCCCCCCACCCCTCAGTCTCACCCCTCCCTGTCTCCCCACACCTCTTGGTTTCCCCTCTCCCCATCTCCCCCCACCCCTCAGTCTCCTCACACTCCTCGGTCTCCCCCCAGTTGTGTCTCTCAGTCCGCCCGCCCCTGGGTCTCCCCAGCCCCTCGGTCTCCCTGCTCATCCCTCAGCCTCCTCCCCCTCCGCCTCCATCTCCCGCTCTCTTAGTCCTCCCCTTTCCCCTCAGTCTTTCCATCATTGACACCCAGTGTCCTCAGGGTCTCAGAATCAGGAATCTGAGATAGAGACACTTGAGCATTTCTTAAAATGCTATTTAAAAATTATTACTATTTGGAGGAAAGAGGTGAGGGAAGGAGAAGGAGTGGGGAGGAGGGAAAGGAGAAGTGAGGGAGGGGGCGGGTGTGCAGGGGAAGAGAGGGAGCCTTAAAATGCTGTTATGATGACAGCATGAGAACTGGAGAACTGGAGTGCAGTGTTGCGATCTTGGCTCACAGCAGCCTCCGCCTCCCAGGTCCCACTGATTCTCCTGCCTCAGCCTCCCGAGTAGTTGGGATTTACAGGCATGTGCCACCATGCCTGACTAATTTTTTATTATTGGTAGAGACAGGGTTTCACCATGTTGGCCAGGCTGGTCTTGATCTCCTGGCCTCAGGTGATTCACCTGACTCAGCCTCCCAAAGCGCTGGGATTGATTGCAGGCATGAGCCACCAAACCTGGCATAATTCAGGTGTCTTTAAATAGACAAACGTGAGAAACCAACAGATACGTGTGCAGCACGAGACATTTGGGGGATTATCTTTCAGCAAATCAGCTGCCTCGAAGGTGGACCATGTAGGAGTGTACACAGAGGCAAGTGCCCCACAGTGGCCAGGACAGACAGGCAGGAAGTCGCAGGTGCACAGTCCAAGCTGTCAGGACCTGGAGCTGACTGTCCCTCAGCTGCAGCGTCCTTGCCACGGCAGCCCTCCCCTCCTGCTTGTCACAGATGGCATCCTCCCTTCCAGGCTTCTTGCCATGTTCTGGGCAGGAAGGAGGAGGGAAAAGGGCTGACTCCCAGCGAGGGACTCATGCCTGTTTCTCCCCAGCCAGGACTGTGTCCCAGAAACCCTAGTTTCGAGGGGGTGGCCTCAGGGTGTTTTCAGCAGGTCCCATTGCTGTGGTTGGGACCTTGAGCAATATCAGAATCTGTTGGTGAGGAAAGGGGGATGGGCGTGGGACTGACAGCTCAGGGAGGGACAGCTTACTCTTGAGACCCCGGGGGAGCAGAGAAAGCAGAGTCACCAGCAGAGGGGGTCCTGAGGCTGGGCCTCAGCAGGCAGTATGGAAGTGAGCTAAGTGAGGAGTGTGGCTGTGGAAAATCCTGGGATGGGCAGTGGCAGAAGGTATGAAGGACAGGAGCAATGCCAAGGCTGGTGTGGGGGTGGGGAGCGGGGCCTGCCCCTTCATGCATTTCTTCTCCAGATCTTCTCTGAGCCATTGGGAAGGGCGTGGACAGTGGGGCAACCTTGACGTCATGGCTGGGTTTGCATGCTAGCAGCAGCTGGCACGGATTGAGCTCTTAGGTTGTGCCGGGCACGGGCTGAGCCCGCACACGCAAGGCCACAAGCAGTCCTCCCTCCAGGGCTTGGACGCAGGCAGGATTGTCACTCCAACTTCACAGAGGAGGCCGCTGAGGTTCAGAGAGGCCAAATGAGCCGCCCAGGCGTCTCAGCTAGGAAGCAGAGGGTCTGGGGACCCAACCCACTAAACCTCCACACTGTGCCACCTCTCCAGGGACAGTCAGAGGGAGGCTACGTAGGAGAGGGCGGGTGAGAGCAGGACAGCAAGGAGGAGGCAGCTGTGGAGGTCTGCCTTCATCCTGACACGGACGGTGAGGTGCTGTTCAGGGAGCATTCTGGCAGAAATGGTGACTTTGGGTCTTAGGCGATGGGCACCTGGGTGTCAGGCCCAGGCTGAGCCCCACGGCCCCTAGGTGTGCAGAGGCAGAGTGTATACTGCTTGGAGCGGCAGGCAGGGCCTGTAGACCAGGGGCACTGTGACCCCCTGGGCCAGCCCGATGACCACCAGAGGAAGTGCAGTGAGCAGCCCTGCCCTGCCAGGTGAGCCGCCCCCACGCCCCTGCCAACTCCCTACCCCCAGGCGGCCTGGGTCTGCCACAGGCCCCTACTTCTGGGCCCCAGAGGCCCCAGGGAGGAGCACAGGCAGCCAGGTTTTCATGGGTCTTCCCAAGGCTGAAGCCCCAGCTCCCGGTCACCCCTTACTCCAGCCTGGGCTAGCCTGGACACCTGTGGTCCTCCTCCTTAGGTCCCTGGTTACAGAAATAGGCCTCTGGTAATGCTCACTTCCCCTGAGGGGAGGGTGGCAGGAGCAGAGGGGCTGGGCCATGTCACCAAACTCAGGGGACAGGACACCTACCTGGGCTTGGAGCTCTGGAGAAGCAGCCACTGGCCTTGGTCCCAGCTCTGGGACCAACCCCGAGGGCCTTGGAGCCCGGCCCGGCCCTCCCTGCTGGTGAGCCTGATGCCACCCGTGTGCCCTTGCCAGGCGGTGGGCAGGTGAGTGGCAGCTGTGCTCCAGCTCCTGCGGGCCTGGGGGCCTCTCATGCCGGGCCGTGCTCTGCATCTACAGCGTGGGGCTGGATGAGCAGAGTGCCCTGGAGCTGCCCACCTGTGAACACCTTCCCCGGCCCCTGGCTGAAACCCCCTGCAACCGCCACGTGCCCTGTCTGGCCACCTGGGCTGTGGGGAACTGGTCTCAAGTGAGTGCGGGATGGGAGGGGCCACCTCCAGCGACACCCTTGGTCTCAGGCTACAGGGAGGCAGACAGCCTTCCTCCAGCCCTTACTGCCTGGTACTGTGGATGGGAGGGAGTCTGGGGCATTCCAGGGTCCAGCCTGACTCCAAAGCCTCAGGGATCAGGAAGCTCCTGCGAAGCCGTGGCCACAGCCATGACCTTGAGCTGGGTAGGGCCAGAGAGGGCTGGCTGGAGTCCCTGCCACTCTGATACCGGGCAGTGGACAGTGCCTTGCCCCAGCGTCCCCTGGCAGCCAGCCTCCCAGCCTGAGCCCCTCACCCTGGTTTCCCCCACAGTGCTCAGTGACATGTGGGAAGGGCACTCAGCACCGAAGTGTCCTCTGCACCAATGACACTGGTGTACCCTGTGATGAGGCCCAGCAGCCAGCCCGCCAAGTCACCTGCCCTCTGCCACCCTGTCCGTGGCCCCTGGACATACTGGTCCCTGAAGGCTCAGGCAGTGGCTCCTCCAGCCACGAGCTCTTCAACGAGGCTGACTTCATCCCATGCCGCCTGGCCCCACACCCTTCACTCACCTCAGCACCCAGGCCAGCCAGCATGGGCAATGACATCGACGAGGAGGCCCTGGAGCTGGACCCGCCTGGGCCCGTGTTTGCGGACGACTTCTATTATGCCTGCAATTTCATCAATTTCCACGAGGACCTGTCCTACAGGCCCTTTGAGGAGCCCGATCTAGACCTGGTGGGGCCAGGGGTTGGGACGCCCACACCACGCCACCGTCCTCCTGCGCCCTCCACGGGTAACCCCGTGTCTGCCACAGAGCCTCCTGCAGCCACGGAGGAGGGGGCACTGGGACCTTGGTCCCCTAGCCCTTGGCCCAGCCAGGCCGGCTGCTCCCCACCCCCACCCTCAGAGCTGACCCTTGGGAACCCTTTGGTCAATTTCCTGCCTGAGGAAGACACCCCCATAGGGACCCCAGACCTTGGGCTCCCCAGCCTGCCCTGGCCCAGGGTTTCCCCTGATGGCGTGCAGATACCTGCCACCCCTGGGAGCCAAAATGACTTGGTTCGCGAGGACAGCCAGCGCCAGCTGCCCCCTCTATGGTGGGACAGGACCAATGAGGTTTCCAAGGATGATGAACCTGGGGGCTGCGGAGCCCCCCACCTGCCCCTGAGACCCAGCCCCACCCTGCCTCCTTTGTCCTCTGTTGGTAGCACGCACTCCTTTCCTGGTCCTGATGTAGTGGAGCTGTGGACAGGAGGGACTATAGCCTGGAAGCCAGCTCTGGAGGGTGGCCTGGGGCCTGGGGACAGTGAGCTGATGCCCACTGTGGAGGTGGCTCCTCCCCTTCCTCTTCCCATAACCCCTCCGCCAGAGACAGAAGGCAGGGACAGCCCCTGCAGCTGGGGACTCCTAACTCCCCAACCCCAGGACCAGGCTCCTGGGACCAGCAGACTGTGGCAGTGCGGGGCATCTTCCTCCCCATGACCCTGACTGGCCTTGGGCACACACATGAGCCTGAGCCTGCCCCGAGCCCAGGACCCAAGGGCCAGCCAGAGTCCCTCAGCCCTGAGGTGCCCCTGAGCTCTGGGCTGCTGTCCATGCCCTCTTGGGACAGCCCTGCTAACAGCCACAGAGCCCCTGAGACCCAGCCCCCGGCCCCCAGCCTGGCTAAGTCAGGGTCCCCTGTGGACCCACTGGCTGCCAGGAATGTCAGCTGGCAAGCTGGAAACTGGAGCAAGGCAAGTGGTGCGGGCCGGGCTGGCGAGGGAGTTTGCCCGGGACCTTGGTGATTGTTGCTTCACCTGAAAGTGAGCAGAGCGGGACACAGGCGCTGTCTGTCCTGCCTCCCTCGGGGCAGGATTCCCAGGATTAGGTGGATGAGGGGGCCACAGGGCCCATTCCTGGGCGGCACATGGGGCCTCAGGGAAGCCAGGACAGGCACACTCTGGCAGCACACCCCAGGACAGAGTTCACTCAGGCAGCTGTGCAGTGGGGAGGGTCCCCCCATGGCTTGCAGGCCCAGTCTTGCCCAGAAAGCAAGCTTCCCTGAGGCTCAGCCTGTCTCCTCTACGCTGGGCTCAGCCCACTGCCACCGGGCTCTGCCCTCAATGGCTCCACCCTCCTTTGGCAGTGACCTGCAGGGGTCTGAGCTGCATGAAAGAAGCTGGTCAGTGCCCCCTCCCTGGGTCCCCAGAAGGTCACTGCAGGAGAAGCAAGGTTCTGTTCAGATCCCTAATTTGGGTGTGGAAAGGGGCAGTCTGGTTAGGATAGCTGGTCAGGGGTGCCCGCAGGGTCCCCTTCCCCCGCCTCTGCACCAGTGACACTGCAACACAGGCCCTTTGTCCTTTGTGGGCAGGGTCAGTTGATTGCTGGGGGGCGGGGGTTGACTTTTTATTCTCACGGTCTTCCTGGGAGGTGGGTGGTGGAGTCTATTTTGCAAATAAGAAAACTGAGGCCCAGAAGAGGGGCCTGTCTTGCTGAGGTCTCACTAGTCTAGGTGGGTAGTTCCTGGCTGTGGGGGCCGGGCGGGGATGGGGTCTGCCTGGCTTTCACGGGTCTGTGCCCCGCAGTGGTCCACCACCTGCAGCCTGGGTGCCATCTGGAGGCTGGTGCGCTGTAGCTGTGGCCGGGATGAGGAGTACACCCCTGCTGACCGGCCCCAGCCTGCCCGCCGCTGCCACCTGCGGCCCTGTGCCACCTGGCACTTGGGCAACTGGAGTAAGGTGTGTGAGGATGGAGCCAGGGCAGGGAGCCCCAGGGCACGGGGTGGAGCCCTGGGTAACCAGGGCCTGTGTTCTGAGAGCAGCAGGGCAGGGGAGGGCTCTGGGCTGCACGTCTGGGCACCCAATGGCACTGGATCTGAATCTCCTGGGAGTCTTCATTTTTGTCTGGCTTGACCTGTTTCCTCCCCTCTGTATTTCTGACCCCATCTGGACTTGTCTTTCACCAGCTTGCCTTTGTTCCTCCCTTTCTCTGTCTGTCCCTGCCCATGGCAGCCTCTGGCCGGGCACCTTTTGCCTGGGGCCTGCCAGCCTTGGCCTCCTGCTGGGGCTCTTTGGGGATTTGCCCTGGGCTGGAGCATGGACCTGATGCCTTCCCTGCCACACGCCTCACGGGGTCGCATGTGTGGGCCTGCACGTGGGGGGTGTCCATACACGTCTCTCCATCCCCAGTGCTCCCGCAGCTGCGGTGGAGGCTCCTCAGTGTGGGATGTGCAGTGTGTGGACACATGGGACCTCTGGCTGCTGCGACCCTTCCACTGTCAGCCGGGGCCAGCCAAGCCCTGCCTCAGCTGCTACACCTCTTCCTGGAGGGAGGTGAAGCCTGGTGGTCCAATTGGGGGGAGGGGGTGCCCTCAGACCCTGGCTGTGCCCTGACTCCTTCCCTGCACCCTAGTGCTCTGAGGCCTGTGGTGGTAGTGAACAGCATCACCTGATGACCTGCCCGGAGCCAGGCCTCTGCGAGGAGGCACTGAGACCCAACGCCATGTGGCCCTGTAACACTCAACCCTGCACGCAGTGGGTGGTGGGGTTCTGGGACCAGATGAGCTGGGCTTTGTGGAGGAGTAAGGAGCAAGGGCTTGGCGGCACCTGGTCGGTCCTGGGTTGGGTAAAGCAGCTATTGAGTGTGGCTGAGAGCCAGGCTGTCCCTGGCCACTGCTCGTGCAGCAGTGACTGGACGAGGTCCTGCCCTGCTGGTCTTACAGCCTGCCAGGGAGAAACTGACAAGGAAAGGGCACATGTGCTGTGATGTCAGGGAAGGCCTTTCCAGGAGGGACCTCGAGTTGAGACCCGAGGGAGGAGTCAGTGATGCCAAGGACAGGGATAAAGGGGACAGTAGGTGTGAAGTCTGAGGCAGGAATGACGAGCTTGGGGCGATCAGGGAGCCTGGCAAAGGCCAGCGGCAGAAGGGGGCGGAAGAGGAGCCTTGGGTGGGCAGGACGCCTTCTGCCGGGTCTGTTTGGAATGAAGGGGTTCAGAAATCTCAGCTGTGGGCCCTGAGGTGGGCCCTGAGCCGGACCCTGGAGTCAGCTGGGCCAGGGTTTGAGTCTGTCCCACTGGCTGCTGAGTGACTCTGGGCAGGTTGCTTTGCCTTGCTGGGTCACTGTTTTCTCACCTGTAAAACGGGGACAACTTGGAAGAAGAGGGTCAGGAGGATTAAATGAAGTAACGGGATGGAGTACAGAGCTGGGCACAGACTCGGCGGGCACAGCACAACACTGGCACAGATTCGGCGCATCTTCAGGGTTTTCAGACCCGCACCTGATAACAACGAAGCCTGGCGGGCTGGGCCCTGGCTGTGAAACCTGTCTCCACCCCTCCTGTCTGTGGGCTGGGCAGGTCCTCTGCCCCATCCCTCGGGCACAGCAGTCTCGCCCATGTCTCTGCCCGCTGCTGCATTAGGGCTGCATCCCGGGGCTCTGCCCAGGCCTCTCAGGCATGTCCCTTGAGAGGGCCTCGCTGCCCTGCAGCCTTGAGGGCTGTCCCCACAGCGCAAGTGGGGTTTGAGTACCGAGTGAGCTCTAGGCATGGGACCAGGTCCTCCCAGGTGGCACTGAGGGTGGGGCTGGGAGCAAGGGCAGGCCAATCAGGCACAGGGTGCAGGGATGGCTTCCCAGAGGAGGTGTTACTGCCCCCGCAGCTAAGGTGGCCCAGGGAAACACTCCTTCCTCCCCACCCCCCGCAGTGCTCAGCCCCCTGTGGCGGGGGCGTCCAGCGGCGCCTGGTCAAGTGTGTCAACACCCAGACAGGACTGCCTGAGGAAGATGGTGACCAGTGTGGCCATGAGGCCTGGCTTGAGAGCTCCCGGCCGTGTGGCACTGAAGACTGCGAGCCCATCCAGGCACCCTGTGAGTCCATGAACCCCTGGCTCTCTGCTAAAGTGAGGTGGGGTGGGGAGGGTGATGGGGAGTGGGATTGTCAAACCATCACACCCATGGCACCGGCTGGCTCCATCTGCAGTCTGGGCTCAGGAGCTACAGGGTCACAGAATCCTGAGGCCACAGGATGCCATGCTGGAGCCTGGGTTGTGCTGGGAGTCAGCCCGGGGTCCCAGCCACACGATCTCCTGCTGGCAGATGTCTGGCCTCAGGGGAGGAGAGGGGGCGGCCCCTGAACTGCTGTGTGAACCTGCGTAAGCTCTTTTCCTCTGGGTCTCAGTCTTCCCATTGTGAGGCCAGGGATGTCCCTGAGGCTATGTGAAAGCTGGGCCTGGGTGAATCCGGTCCCCAGCCCTGGCCTGCCCATTCCCTGGCCAGAGGGCTGCCTAGAGTGAGCAGTGGAACCACAGGGAGGGTTTCCTGACCAGCTGTGTCCTGGCAGAAGGGCCTGGGCCAAAGTGGTCTGGACACCCTGATCCCCTGCCGCTGACACACACATCACACACACACACATGCACACAGTCTCTCTCCTGACACCCTGCCCCCCCCCACACAGCCTCTCCTGACACCCCCCCACACACACACTCTTACACTTCCTACCGCTCTGCCCCCAACACATAAACATTCTCTTTCTTGTGATCCTCTGTCTCTGACACACACACACACACTGACTTTCTCTCTGTCTCCCTTCCTGCAGCCCCAACTGCCCCCAGCAGTGCTGAGTGTAGGAAACCGTGGTCCTGGAATCTCCCCTGGGCACCCTTCGCCAGCTGTGTGGCCATGGGCTCCATTTCCCTGTCAGGGCCTTCATGTGCTGAATCATGGGGCTGTCAAGCACCATCCTTGCATAAATGAGGTCTGGGCACAAAGCGCCCCACACTGCATGGGCATCCAGGTGGTGCTCAGGGAAGGCGGCCTTTTCCCCTTCCCCAAAGCCACTTTCATCCCCAATTGAAAGGTCAGGAAGAAGGCCTGGGGCTGCCCCTAGCAGTCTAGGGCACCCAGAAGCTGTGGCGGGAAGAGGTGCAGCCCCCTGTGCTAATGGCTGTCTGCCACCTGCCCCTTGGACAGAGTTGGCAGCCAGGGCACTCAACTGGCATTCTGGGCCCCCTGCAGTCTCCTGGGTCTGCCTCTCCCCTTGTCTAGCGTAGCCTTCTCTATCTGCTCCTGGACAGCCCTCATTCAGGCTCAGAGTGGCCCCTGCCATGCCTCACTACCCTGCCTCTGGCAGGGGTGGCCTTCCTGCCTCAAATCCCATTACCTCAAGGCCCAGAGGCAGTGCCGCCACCCTACCCTGCCCGTCCTCAGCACACACCCAGCCAGTGTCTCAGAGCGCTCCTGTGTGCTGCCTGGGCTGGCTGTTGGCATCACATCTCTTGCTTCTCAGGGTTAGGCTGGCTACAGGGAGCGGGTGTTACCATCCCAGGTGGTGAGGACCAGATGGGGCAGAGAACAGGAACTGAGGTGCCTGGGGGCCCAGAACCACGGATGATTGCCCACGAGGCTCTGGGCTTGCAGGGTCTCCAGGGGTGGGTGTGAGTGGGTGGAGGGAGTGGGACTGCTTAGGTAGCTGAACTAGAAACTGTCTAAGTGAGTTTTCTGCCACCAGTGCACAGTGGAGGGGAAGCAGGAAGGTGTCTTGCACCTTGAGACCTGGAATTCCCAGGATGTTTTGCTGGTGTGTGGGACAGTGTGGCAGGTATTTGGAAAGCCTGGAAACTCCAGTGTGTGTGGTCACTGCAATGACCCAGCATGGCCGCATCCGTTTGCTTTGGAGGTGGGTTTGGCAGAGGGGACCGATGCCCAAGAGGTGAGGCAGCTTGTGTGAGGTCACCCCGGGTGAGCAGGATGCAGCCTGCAGATGTGCGCTTTGGAGCTCTGCCTGGAGCTGGGCTGGAGGAGCCTGCCTGCTGCCTTGTGCCCTCTGTGGGGCCTGGAGGATGGCCCATGCCCAGGGCTGGTTGCTCCCGTCCTGGTCCTCTTCCTCCGGGAGATCTGCTGGAATGAGCAGGGCCCAGGCAGCAGCTGGGGGTTGTCAGCAGTGGCAGCAGCATCAGGAGCAAGGCCAGAAGGCTGGAAAAAAGCCACTTCCCAAAATAGCTCCAATAACCACAGGCAGGAGGGCCCAGCTGAGCCTCAGCCCTGACAAGCCTCAGCCCCTGGTTTCCACTGACAGGCTGCAAGGTCCAGTCTTTTGAGGCTTTGTGGCCTCCCTGAGAAGTGGAAGGCTGGCCTGGGAGATGGGACCCTGTGACCCCAAAGCTGAGGTTGACTGCAGTCCCCGTGGCTGGAGGGGGTCACAGAGGCCTGGTAGGACAGGTGAACTGGAGCAGGGGGAGGCGCCGGGAGTGGGGGCAGAGGCCACTGCAGAACTGGACTGCAGTTCTGTGCCAGGCTCTGTCAGGGGATTCCAAGGCTGAGCAAGGATGGAGATGGGGTGGCAGGGCATTGCCCTGGGCAGGCTCTTCTGCAGGCATGTGAGGGGGTCAGGGTGGGGTCTCAGAACCTTTCCTCCAGAAACCTCAGCCCACCAGCGCCTGTTCTCCAATCTTAGGGGTCGGCCATGGGAAGGTGGGACAGAGACAGCCACAGTTGGAGAGGTGCAACTCCAGTTCGGGAGCCCCCCCCCCAGAAACTGGGGCCCTCTGCATGGCAGTTAGCTGCTGGAGCCTCCTTAAGGTGACTGGTGTGGGGAGCCAGGTTCTGTGTACCCCAAACCACTGATGCCCCGTGTCCCCTACTCCAGGTTGTGAGTGGGACCGCCTGTCATTTGGATTCTGCGAGACACTGCGCCTGCTGGGCTGCTGCCAGCTTCCCACTGTCCACACCCAGTGCTGCCGCTAATGCCCTCCACCCAGCCATGGTGCTTCCTCCCGAGGCCATCAGCTGGCTGCCCGCCGCTGACTGCATCAGGATGCACAGACCAACTGACAGACCTCAGTGCCCACCATGGGCTGTGGCAGAGCCCCCGCCTCCTGCACCCTAATGGTGCTAACCCCCCTCTCCCCATCCAGTGGCAGGCTGGGGACCTCCTCCCCCTCAGAAAAGGTATTTTTTTAACAGTTTGTGTAACGTTTGTTATTATTTTACATAAATGAGCATCTACCATTCCAAAGCACAGCGTGACTTCTTGGATTTGGAGAATCTTAAAAGTCAGAAACCTCTCCTGACCCCTCTGCCCCAATCTTCACTGCACAGCATCTCAGCAGGCAGTGGCTTTTCACCTGCTCCCCTGTGGCACATCAGCTCCTCTGGCAGCCCAGCCCCTCACACTGAGGACCCCTGTCTCACCAGTCACCTCCCTCAGCTGGGCCAACACATCCAGTCCATTCCAGCTTCCCTGGTCTCAGGCCTAGAGACAACACATCCCTCCCTGAGCGTCCATCTTTGTCCCTCAATCCTGACTCCATCGAAAGCCCAGAGAAGCCTCTCCAGAACATCCTTCTCAGCAGGCTCACTGCAATGCGGCAAAGGTTTCAGAGCTCCCCATTCTCCAGGCGGCAGTCAGTTCCTTCCCACACGTACTGGATTCTGATGCCCTCTGCACTCCATTAGGGCCCACTGCCACCCACGCCACACATGGTCCCTTCCTCTCCCGGGGAGCTGCCCACTTGGATCTTGATAGTCAAATACTCAGGGCACCCTAAAGTCAGACATTCTCCTTAAAGCTTCTTAAGCCATTCTGCAGCTCCGCGACCTGACTGCCTGCAGCCCACACACTTCTCTTTGGTCAGCATCCCACAACTTAGCACTGAACACATAGCGGCTGTTACTCTCCACCAGTAGTTGAGTTTTCCCAACCAGACAGTGAGCTTCTTGAGGAGAAAAAAAATAATCATATTATTATGGTCTCCGTGAAGCAGACACCATTGGAGGTCCTCAGATCTAGATGTCAGAAACAGGGTTCCATACTCTTTTGTCACCTCCCCTCCAACACACCCTCCGCAGATATGGACAAGACCTTGAACCAGTCAGCCTAGTTAATCTAAAAAAACACTTCTCTTCAGGCAGAGAAGTAAGGTGGTTACTTCGTGGTTTCAACGGCTGACCTGAGACCCAGACTTCTGGGTTCAAACTTTCACTGTAGATGTGCAAAAAAAAAAACCCTCCTCAACCATGCACAGTGGCTCACACCTGTAATCCCAGCACTATGAGAGGCCGAAGTAGGCAGATTGCTTGAGGCCAGGAATTTCAGGCCAGCCTGGCCAACGTGCCAAAATCGCATCTGTACTAAAAAATAAAATTAGCCAGATGTGATGATACACACCCATGATCCAAGCTTCTTAAGAAGAAGGTATTGTTTATATATTATATTCACAAGAACTGTTTGAACCTGGGAGGCAGAGGTTATAGTGAGCTGATAATGCATAACTGTACTCCATCCTGGGCAACAGAGCAAGACTCTGTCTCAAAAAAATAAAGACAAAGGCCGGGCGCAGTGGCTCACACCTGTAATCTCAGCACTTTGGGAGGCTGAGGTGAGTGGATCATGAGGTCAAGAGAATGAGATCATCCTGGCCAACATAGTGAAACCCCGTCACTACTAAAAATACAAAAATTACCCAGGTGTGGTGATGCACACCTGTAGTCCCAGGTACTCAGGAGGCTGAGGCAGAATAGCTTGAACCGGGGAAGCAGAGGTTGCAGTGAGCCAAGATCGCGCCACTGCACTCCAGCCTGGCAAGAGAGCGAGACTCTGCCTCAATAAAAGAAAAAGAAAGAAAAGACCCTCTTCAACTGGCAGCAATGCCCGGTGTTGTGGGGAGGGAGGACTGGAGGCCCCAAAGAGTGCCCACTAGAGCCACCCACCATGGGGAAGAGGAAAAATGAGAAAAGCATCCATTTATTGGGTGCTTTCTATTTGCCAGTTCTGCTGGGCAGCTTGGATGCATTATCTATTGCTAATTCTCACAGCATCCCTGCTAGAGCAGGGTTATTCCAATCACAGGCAGACACGCTGAGGCCTGGAGCTCCCTTTCCAACATGCCTCTATGCATGGGAGAGAGGGACATGGTGAACTGTTTGAGGGGACGAGGCTTCAAAGGATGCCCTGCACATGTGCAAACCCCATGGAGAAAAGCAGAACCAAGGCAGGCAGGCTCTCCAGGTAAGTTCACATCCACCTGGCTCAGCACTCACATGGGAATTTCACAAGATGCTTTTTTACAAGCTGCTCTTCAAATTAACATTCCAGCTTCAAATGATGATGTTTACATTTTCTTCAAGAAATATTTCACCCCACTCCTCAGGGGAGGAGACTTTAACAATAATTTCTAAGGTGTTACATTAAGTTCAGGAGTCCTTTTTACACCAACTTAGACAATTAAACTGTCTTCTGTCCAGAGGTAGGGAGCTGGCCTCACCGTCTCCAAGGGCCCCACCAGGAGACTGTCAAAGGCCTTCACCAGCAACCAAAGCCAGCAGGGTTGGGGAGGGTGCTTAAGTGATAAGAGACCTTTAAGACCTTGCTACTGTCCCTGACAAGAGGTAAGGCAAAAGCTTACAGCTCTCACCAAGAAAACAATGCAAGGAATAGAAGCCAACTTCCATATGTGGTGATTCTTCTGGTTCTAACCACAGCTCCCTAAAAACTCCATCTCTCTGTCTAATGTCTTGAGATATGAAGGCTGGAAGGGCCTGTGAAATAACTAGGACCACCCTGTCACTCACAGCAGGTGTGCAAGCACCCACCCAGCTTTCTGAGGTGCCACCCTGGCCCTCTGCATCAGGCCACTCCCAAGACCACCAGGCAGCTTAGTCCAGCCTACAGATGCCTCCTCCTCAGGTGCCCACCTCCACAAAGGTTTAAAAGCACATTACAGACACAAATCAGTGATAATGAATTAATCATTATGTCATATCCATAAGGAACTTATGGAAGAAATTCTCCATCCACAGGGATGAGGTGATCTTGACACAAGGCCAGACTCACAAATGACCCTTCCAGGAGCTAAAGTTTTTTTTATTTACCGCAATGTGCAAAAAGTCTAACAACGAGTTTAAAAATAATTTTATTGTTTCAAGTTTCATGCAGCAGTAATTGGTGTGGTGAAATGTTTTGGCTGGCAGAGGTGCAATGATTAGATGAAAATAAATTTGTTGTACAAAAAAAGTGTTTCAAAGCGAATGGAGGGTATCCCTTTAAGAAATCTTCCATTTCTTCAGCTCCTTCTATGCGCCAGGCACTGGATCACGTCCTGGGAATTCAATGACCAAGGTACCATTCTCCTCCCCAACGTCAGGGGAAAACAATATGGGGGAGATACCCATATACAGGTATAGCAAGAGACCACAGGCGCTCAAGTCAGTGCAACCAACCTGCAAGCAGAATCAAGACCAGAGAGAGGGTGAAATTGCAGCTAACTCTTAAAGGAGCTTGCCAAAGGGCAAGCTGGTAGTATTGTCTGCTACTCCAAGCAGAGGGGCTTTCACCTCCCAAGACAAAGGGACACAAATGAGTATAGTCTGAGAAGTTGTTCAGAACGTCTGGGAGGAAGGGAGGCTGATGTTCTCTCTCAGCCAAACAAAATGATTTCCAAATTAAAAACAGTAAAAGGCAATCACGGGGAAACTGACATGTAAAACTAAATAACCAGCTATATATTTTGTGTAATCTCAGCAAGAAAGATTCTGAAAATATCAATAAAAGATGAAACAAAATACATAAAATTATCTAACAAAATACAGTGTGGAACCTAACACCAATCATGCATTTATTTATTCTTACTCTCTGTAAGTATTTCTGGCGGGCGAGCATCTTAACCACATAGATTAGCCCAAGGCGACAGATATGAGCATGATAATTAAAGTGTTACTACCTACTTAAACAGAGCGATGGAAGGTAAATCTTGCTGTATTTTTCCAAATTAATCAGTCGTGTTTTTTTTTTTAATCTCTAATCTCAAAAGAAATATTTTAGAGGTTTTAATTTATGAAAGTCCTGTAAAATTATCTTTCTTCCCCCCATTTATTTATTTTATTGCATTTTAGGTTTTGGGGTACATGTGAAGAACATGCAAAATTGTTGCATAGGTACACACGTGGCAGTGTGATTTGCTGCCTTCCTCCCCATCACCTACATCTGGCATTTCCCCCCTTGCTATCTGTCCCCAGCTCCCCAGCCCCCACTGTCCCTCCCCTATTTCCTCCCAACTGACACCAATGTGTAGTGCTCCCCCCCGTGTCCATGTGTTCTCATTTCTCAACACCAGCCTATGAGTGAGAACATGCAGTGTTTGATCTTCTGCTCTTCTGTCAGTTTGCTGAGAATGATGGTTTCCAGGTTCATCCATGTCCCTACAAAGGACCCAAACTCATCGTTTTTGATGGCTGCATAATATTCCATGGTGTATATGTGCCACATTTTCCCTATCCAGTCTATCGTCGATGGGCAGTTGGGTTGGTTCCAGGTCTTTGCTATTGTAAACAGTGCTGCAATGAACATTCGTGTGCACGTCTCCTTATAGTAGAACGATTTGTAATCTTTTGGATATATACCCAGTAATTGGATTGCTGGGTCAAATGGAATTTCTACTTCTAGGTCCTTGAGGAATCGCCACACCGTCTTCCACAATGGTTGAACTAATTTACACTCCCACCAACAGTGCAAAAGTGTTCCTATTTCTCCACATCCTCTCCAGCATCGGTTGTCTCCAGATTTTTTAATGATCGCCATTCTAACTGGTGTGAGATGGTATCTCAATGTAGTTTTGATTTGCATTTCTCTGATGACCAGTGATGATGAGCAGTTTTTCATATGTTTGTTGGCCTCATGTATGTCTTCTTTTGTAAAGTATCTGTTCATATCCTTTGCCCACTTTTGAATGGGCTTGTTAGTTTTTTTCTTGTAAATCTGTTTTAATTCTTTGTAAATTCTGGATATCAGCCCTTTGTCAGATGGATAA